CAATGGAATATTCCTCAGCCATAAGAAGAGATGAAATACTGCCATTTGCGATATCATGGAGGGACCTCGAGATAATCATGCTAAGCGAAATAAGCCAGACTGAAAAAGTTGAAAATCACATGATATCACTTATATGTGGGATATAAACCTAAAAGCAACAAATGATCAGGACAAACAAACAGAGACTCATGGACATGGACTATAGACTAGTGGTTACCAGAGGACTATAGACTAGTGGTTACTAGGGTGGTGAGGGAGGAGTGGGGAAGTGGACAGGGTAAAGGCGGTCAAATATAGGATTTAGGAGGAGGGTGAAGTGGATAGAGGGGATCAAATATATGGTAGCTGAAGGAAACTGGACTTTGGATGGTAAACACACAATAGAATATACAGATGTCAGATGATAATGTACACCTGGAAATTACATAATTGTATTAACCAATGTTTCCCCAATAAACTTAATTAAAAATTAAATAAATAAATAAAAATAATAAAACAGATGAATGAGAATATTGTCAGAACATACCTACAAGTTTGCATTTCTTTAAATCTCGCTCTCCTATATTCGTCATTTTAGTCACTATTTTCATATTAGTTTATATCAGAATGTTATTTTACAAATTCTCTTTTCTTGTCATTATATTAACTACAGGAATAAGCACAAAGCACACCTTGCTTTCTATCAAATAGGTATTGGATCACACCTCTGTCGTTTTTATGAAAACACTTTACCGTGGAAGAGTTTGGGCTGTGTCTTGGGGGGGTTGGGGTTTGTTTGTTTGGTTTTTTTTTTTTTTGAACAAACTTTTTAAACAGTTTTTGACATGCTATAACTATGTGTTTTACTGAGGATGTAAAACTGTTTCAAATGACAGTCTGTCTGGAACATGAGAAAATATAAAATTTCTTGCCCTGCAAAGCTACTGCTGGTAGCAAATATACAATCAAATTGCCATTAACTTTAAAGCTTCAGATGCTCTCTTTTACTGCGAAAGCTCACTTTAGAACCTCCACTTAACCAGCTTTCTGAGTTCATTCATGGTTTCTATTTCCCCCTGAAAAAATATATTGAATTCTGTCCCAGCATGCTGAATAATTGTGGCCAGAAGACTACTTGCTAGCTTGCCGAAGCATTTCTGCTCTTATCAGTTGAATTGAATCAGGTAAGGTAATCTGAAACCTGATTGTGATGGTTGTGGTTGCTGCTGCAATTGTATCATTTATAAATGTCATCTAAGTGAATGAACTACAAGTGAAAGAAGGAAAGAAGGAAGGAAGGAAGGAAGGAAGGAAGGAAGGAAGGAAGGAAGGAAGGAAGGAAGGAAAGGGAGGGAGAATGGGAAGATGGAGGGAGGAAGAAAGAGGAAAATGTGGTCTTACGAAATCCAAGTCGAATGCTTAGGAAAGACTTGATTAAAAGGCATCACTAAAAAAACAACTGCTATGAAATTAGATGTGAGCAAGATCATTGAAAACAACTTGAGTGTAAAATTGTAAAAATTTAAAAGGATTCTGCACTCAAATTATTTTGCAAGGACCCTTAATTTCTTGCTCCACATGAATGACAAAAGCATAGATATTAGTGGCCTGTGTGTGTGGCTTAGGCAAGAAAGTTTACACAGATCCACCATCAATGCATTCACACTCAGAGAAAAGATGTGCTCCTCATCAAAGCCTGGTGAATAAATTTACATCCTTGGCTTAAGTTAAAATGTGAAAGGTATGTTTGTGCACATTTACCTTCCCACTGTCTTGAAGGATTCTTCAGCACTGGTCCTCATCACCCCAAATAAGAGGAGGTCTACTATCGTGACCACGTGGTAACAAATCATAAAGGGACCCCAATAAATTTAAGGCTCATTGGAATCAGAGGAGAGTTATCTATCTTTACATTCCTATTTGTTAACCCAAAATTCATGTTGAAATTACATCTTGTTGACAGAAGGACGTAAGGGAGGGGGAAGAGAAAAGAGAGAAAAACAAAGGGAAAAGAAGAGAAGGAAGACAGTCAGGTTCCCTTTTAAAACTGTGTTGGATTTCGGTTTCGGTTTGATTCTGCTTTATTTTGCTTTACGAATTTTTGCTCCGTTAAAGAGACACAGAGGTGTTTATGAACAATATCCAAGTTGTCTCTAAACAACTAAGTCAGATCTTTGAGATGCAGACTATCTCAGCATGGAATGGTTTCATTTGGGGAAACAGAAACCTACTGAAGGTAGCAAAACAGAGATTGGCTGTAAGGATCCCGTGGGTTTTCACAGAACCCTACATATCTCTGTGGAGAGCCAGGACTGGAACTGCATCTCTGATTCCCAGACTTGTTGCTTTGCATTCCCTGCCTGCTTTTTTTTTATTTTTTTTTTTTTTTTTTTTTTTTTACAGTAGACACCAGCCGTCCATAGAACCAGAAAACCAAACAACAGTCTAAGAATTCCTCTTCCTGGGGTTCTCAGAAAAGCCAGAGCATCAGACTCTCCTCTTTGGGCTGTTCCTCCGCAGGTACTTGGTCATTGTCATTGGGAACCTGCTTACTGTCCTGGCCATCATCTCAGACTCCCACCTCCATGTACTTCTTCCTCTCTAACTTGTCCCTTATCGACACCTTCTTCTCATCCACCACTGTCCCCAAGATGCTGACGAACCTTTGGACCTAGAGCCAAGCCATGCCCTTTGCTGGCTGCCTTGAACAAATGTATGCCTTCTACCCATTTGGAACCATGGATAGCTTCCTCCTGGCCATGACGGCGTTGACCAGTTCATGGCCATTGTCTGTCCTCTGCTCTGCCTTGTCATCATGAGCCCCCATGTCTGTGGCTGCTGGTTGGCAGGTTGTAGCTGATCACTAGCCTCCAGTACTTGTGCACACCTGCCTCATGGCTCAGCTGACCTTCTGTACAAGCCCCTAAATCCCCCACTTCTTCTGCTACCTCATGCCCCTGCTGAAGCCCTCCTGCTGAGACACACACACCAATGAGCTGGTGAGCTTTGCTTTTGGCATCCTCATGGGCATCAGCCCACTCTCGTGAATCCTCTGCTCTTATTCCTGCTTCTTCTGAGCAGTCTTCGAGATTCCTTCCGCTCAGGGAAAGGCTTCTCCACTCGTGGCTCTCACCTTACCATGGTGTCACTGTTCTATGGCCCCATCTTTGCTGTAGACTTGCAGCCTGCATCTCCCACCTCCTCTCAGAAGGACAAGGCAGCTGCTCTGCTGTGTGGAGTAGTTATCCCTGTGCTGAACCCCTTTATCTACAGCCCAAGGAACGAGGACATAAAGGCAGCCCTGAAGAAGCTCCTTGGCATAACAGCCCCCCTTCAGTCGTAGGGCAGAACAGTTACTGAGCACCTACAGTGTTCCGGGATTGCAGTTGGATGCTGGGGACACTGAGACACATGCCATCCCTAACCTTGAGGTGTTCAGAGTCTAGTGGGGGACAGTGACATATAAATAAATCATTACAACATGACAAATGTGTCACAAAGAGATGAATGAAGAGCTATGGGAAGCCCAAGGGAGAGGTACACATTTTCCCCATGATTTATCTTTCCCATGAAGATCAGAGTAGCAGGAAAGACTTCCAAGCAGCCTTAAATTAGCCCTCCCTGGGGTATCAGCCTTATAGACTTGCTGTATGGATAATACTAGTCAAATGAAAGATTGGCTACACTTATTTCAATATTGATAAAGACAATACATATTAGCCAGTTACAGCATTGTGCTTCCTAAGTGACTTGGAGAAGGACTTTGATAGCATCTGATGAGATGAGCTCTCTTGCTATTGGTTTCAGCAGCCACCAGCCTAAGTTGCCCTGGGAACCTGTGGCCATGACTTTGGGTGGGGATTGTTGTCATCAACAGGCCTCCTATGCCCCTCCCCCACCAACATTGGATCATAAGAGACAATGACACTTGGCTCATGGAGATTGTGATGCAATGGGCCATCACTGGACCCTAGAAACTGCCTTCTTCATAAGTTCTCCAGGTGGCTGATTCAGGGAGTCCACAAACCACAGTTTGAGGACACAGGCCCTGGACTAGTTCCAGAGTCCATGTGTTTCCTGTGATGTCCATCAGCTGACTCCAAACCCAAAAAGATTCTACAAGCACAATCAGCACACATGGATGGGGTGGCCTGGAATGCACAGAGAGTTCGTGTTTGGGGTTGGATTGTGTCCTTCAAAAAGAAATGTCGAAGTTTAACCCCCAGGGTTTCAGAATGTGGACTTATCTGGAAATAGGACCTTTACGGAGGTAATCGAGTTAAATTGAGATCATTAGGGTAGGTCGTGATCCAATATAACTGTGTCTTTATAAGAAGGAAGAATTTGGACACAGACATACACACACACACATACACACACACACACACACACACACACACACACACACATACACGGAAGAAGTTGTGTAAAGATAAAAACAGAGATCGAGGTGCTGCTTCTACAAGCCAAGGAATCACAGCGATTGCCAGCAAACCACCAGAAGCCAGGGGAAGGCATGGAACAGATTCTCCCTCAGAGCCCGTGGAAGGAACAAACCTTGCTGACAACTTTGATCTCAGTCTTCTGGCCTCCAGAACTATGAGAGAATAAATTTCTGTTGTGTAAGCCACCCAGTTTGTGGCACTTTGTCGTGCAGCCCTAGCAAACACATACAGCTCATTTAGGAAGGGCTGGCATCATTCGATGATCATGCCCAGATACATCCTCTCAAGTCCATGACCTACCGAGTGTTCTGGTCAAAGAAGTCTGGGCTGCACCTGGAGAAAAAGATGAAAGATCTAAACTCATGAGTTTGTTTTCTGGGTCTCAGTGTGATGACAATAATGAAAAGAACAGCTGCGATGTATTAAGTTCCCAGCACAGAGCTAAGCCCTTTATATGTGTTATTTTATTAAATGTTCAGCAACAACCTTACTAGGTAATATAACTTCTTATTTTCCAGATGAGAAAACGGAGGCTTGAAGAGAGAAGCTGCTAAGTTTTAGCCAAGGTTCGTACAGAGTACCCATCCCAAAGCCGTTGTTGAGAATCCAGGGCTGGGCAGGGGGCTGCAAACTAAGGCCTGTGAGCCAAATCCAGCCTGCAGCCTGCTTTTTCACAGCTTGCAAGGCAAGAATGGTTTTTACATTTTTAAATGGTTGGAAAAAATTTAAAAAAGACTATCGTGTGGCAGATTAAAATGATATAAAATTCTAATTTTAGCACCTATAAATAAAGTTGTAAGGGAACACAGCCACACCCATTTGTTTATGTATCATCTTGACTGCTTTCAAGCCACAGGGCAGAGCTGAGTAATCGTCACAGAGACCCTACGGCACTCACAGTCTAAAATATTTACTATCCAGCTCTTACTGAGTTTGTTGACCAATTTTCTATAGAAGAGATCCATGTAGGTCCATGAATCAGAAGCATCAACACTATGGATAGTTTGCTATAAATGAAGGCTGAGATGCCACCACAGCCACTGAATCATAACTTTAATAACAACCCAGGGGGTTATGTGAGCCTTCAAGTTTAAGGTTCACAGGAATAAATGAATGATGAGAGAAAGGCTTCAGACATTTGGGACCTGAATAGGCCTTCGGTTCAGAAATACGGGAGAACCGGATTTCCAGCTCCTGCCCATGGACGTGGTCTCGGAGACGACAGTTCAAGCGAAACGCTTGGAAAGAATCGCAGCTACAGTTTGAGGAAGTGGCCACCAGATGGCGATAGTGCCACTTCATAAATTGTACATCTAAAACTAAACTTTTATCCTGGCTATGCACTGGCCGAGTTCCACTCACCTCCGCTGAAATTGGCCCCTGAGAGAGAACAGCATGTGCAAAGTTCCCATGTTGGGATGGAGCCTGGATTGTTTAGAGAAACAGCCAACAGAGAAAGGGAGAGGGGTGTACAGGGAGCTGTGGACGGAGGCGGGGGTCAGCCCTCACCATTACAATTGGTCCATAGGGCAGACAGGACCACAATAAGGCTTAAATTAAGCAAGGATATGAGGAGGGCCTGTGCTTTGGAAAAAAAACAGCTGATGAGCTATGCCATGGATTAGAGGTAAGTAAATTTTATGTAAAGGTTCAGAGAATAAATATGAGCTTTATGGGTCATACAGTCTCTGTTGCAATGACAGCCCTGCTGTTATGAAGTGGAAGCTTCCATAGACAATACGTCAAGGAATGAGCATGGCTAAGCACCCAGGAAACTTTATAGACATTGAAACTTAAATTTCAGTCTACGGCCATGCTACCCTGAAGAAGCCCGATCCCGTCTGATCTCAAAAAGCTAAGCAGGGTCGGGCCTGGTTAGTACTTGGATGGGAGATCACCTAGGAAGACCAGGTGCTGTAGGTATAAAAAATAAAAAAATAAGGGATCATAAGCTGACAAGGTCCTTGCAATCTGTGAGGTCAACCAAGGGTTGCCTCGCCTAAAAAACAAAAAAAAATTACAAAATATCGTTATTTTAATTGTTGCATTGAAAAATTATTGAAGTCATCAGAATGATTCAGAAAGATCCTCAACTAGTATCTACCTCCCATGTGCTCCTCTCTCCCAAAGTGTAGTGATAAACTATAGTATAGAGCTTTTTTTAAGAAAGTAAAAAGTATTGCAGAAATGGTTCTTCTGAAGATGCCACAGGACTTTACATGCTGCTCCCTCTTCTCTACTTCGTCCCAGAGTTAATGCTTCCTTATCTTTGAGATTTCAACACAAACCCCACTTCCTCAGGGAAGCCTCTCCTCACCAGCTCCCTGCTTCAGCTACATCAGGTACCCTAACATGCTCATTCTCCTCATCACATCAGTGATTTCATGTTCATTTGTGCGATTCTTTGATTAATGTCTATTTCACCCACCTGACTATAAGCTGACAGCTGGGGGCTGAGACTGTGTTCTCTTATTTATCTTGCCCAACTTCCTACCCCCATGCTTAGTAAAGCAGCCACTCAAGATATATTTGTTGAATAAATGAATGAATGAATGAACTAACAAAAGAAAGTATGAATGAATGAATGAATGAATGAGGAGGCAGTGTGATGACAAGACTCTAGGATATCAGATGAGGCAACTGAGGTAGGCTGGATTGGAATAGAGATATCTAATGGTCAAGGTTAAGTTGCTATGATATGAGATGTAAACTCCCCCTCCAGTCCCCCAACCTTCAGTAAAGCCTGTCGCACACCCGGGAGCCTTGGTGAAATCAAGGAGAGAAGCAGGAACAGTGAGCTCATGGTATAACTATGTAATTTGGCAGTAACAGGAGATCATGAGGAAATGATCATCTGAACATTCTTCAAAATCTCAGCAAGGGTATTGGACGGGGTTTGAGCCAGCTTAACTAGATCTGAATGAACTAATCAGTGTTAGAATACAATAACACGTCTTCCTCTCTGTATGAAATTTTACTGGGTAATTCAAAGACATTATGTAGATTTAGACACTGACATTCAGAGAGGGAAAATGACTGTCCCAAGACCACATGCTGGATCAGAGTGGGGAAGATTCCAGTCTTGCCTGGTGTGACCCCAAAACCTGACCGCTCCTTCTGCCATCATAATGTTGGATGGCCTCCCAGGTGGATAACTTGCCCAAGGTCATGCTTGGAATAGCTCAACTCCTGCTCCACGTGGAACTCTGGGGGACAAAAGGTGCATCCGCTGGTGGGAGTGGCTAGAAGCCATTTCCAGCAAGGCCTGAGGAAGGGCTCAGTAAGGCTTGAGCCCAAGGTCCTGGAAGGAGAATGCCTACTTCCTAATATGTATTTACCAGGGATTTGGGGAGTCACTTCCATCTCTGCAAACCTGTGTAGTAGAAGTTCCCCAAGACCACTCTCAGGATCAACGATTCACTAGAAAGAACTCAGCAAAGTTGTTATACTCACAGTTTACAAAGAAAGAATACAGATTTAAATCAACAAGGGGAAAAGGCACATGGGCCAGGGTGTGGGAGACAGCAGGCACAAGCTTCTGGTTGTCCCTATGGAGTCTTGTGGACAGCACTTAATTCCCTCGGCAATGGTGTGTGACAATACACATGGTACACTGTCAACAGGGAAGCTTACTTGAGTCTTAATGTCCAGAGTTCTCACTGGGGGTTGGACACTGTATTAGTTTCCTACAGCAAAACACCACAGATGGGGTTGTTTAAACAACAGAAGTTTATTTTCTCACAGTTCCAGAGGCTGGAAGTCTGATCAAGGTGTCAGGAGGGTTGGTTCCTTCTGAGGCCTCTCTCCTTGGCTTGCAGATGTCTGTCTTACGTCTGTGTCTTCACAGCATCTTCCCCCTATACACACACATCTGTGTTCTAATTTCCTCTTCTTATAAGGACACCAGTCACATCGAATTCAGACCCACCCTAAATACCTCATTTTTATTTATTCACCTGTTTAAAGGCCTTATCTCCAAATACAGTCACATGTCTGTGTCTTCACAGCATCTTCCCCCTATACACACACGTCTGTGTTCTAATTTCCTCTTCTTATAAGGACACCAGTCACATCGAATTCAGACCCACCCTAAATACCTCATTTTTATTTAATCGCCTGTTTAAAGGCCTTATCTCTAAATACAGTCACATTCTCCTGGAAGGGGAAGTCCTGGGGGGGTTATGACTTCAACATGGGAATTTGGGGCAGAGGGACACAATTCAGCCCCCCATCACAGCCACATAGACATGGATGACCACCCATGTGGCTCACCTTAGTTACTAAGTCTCTAACTCCTCTAGAAATCAAACGGATACAGTGTAGTCCAAGGCCCCCACTATAAATCATGCTGTTAGTATAACTCTCTGTCACAGCCCCCAGGTATACAAAGAGATCCCAAGGGCTTAGAAGCTATCTCCTAGGAGCCAGTCAAGGACCAGACCTTTCTTTGGAAAATGCAGGAGTGCCTAGAGACCCAGGAGGGAGGAGGGAGGAGCTAAGGAATGACATGGGGTCTTTGCCTGGCCCTGCCTACCCCAGGCCACTTGTTCCCATCTGACCAGCCACCCCTCTCCAGGCTTTCTCACTTCCTTTTGGATAACCAGCATCTACGAGGCCCTAGTGGCCATACAAGCACCCCCAGCTGGACACCAGAGCAGCTCTTGGCATGGCTGCAGGTGACCAGTCGCTAAATGTGTCCTGGAGCCTGGGGCCTGGGGCCTGGCAGGCGTCTGGCCAGCAGGAAAGCCCAGCAGTTCTGCATGTGATAAAAAGAGGGCACTGTGAGGGTAACTGGCCACCCTGCTGCACTTTAGCTTCAGCTCCACAGCTTCCTGGCTGGGCTTTCCCAAGGGCCACTGGGAGGCTCTGGTCAAGACATGTCGCCCTACTGCCTGTCAAGTGATACCACACCACACTTCAGGAGGCTACCTCGTGGTGATCCGACCACCCTCTCTCCTTCCAGCAGCTCAACGCTGCCCCAGTGGACATCTCTGGGCAGCCACCCCTGCCCTGTTTCTCCGAGGACTGACTCCTGACCAGGGAGGCCTGCACAGCCTGTGACACGCGCCTCCTAATCTTGGAAAAGACAGGTAAGCCTCAGGCACAGGGACAACTGGGAATGACAACAGGGGGTGGAAACTGGGGGGGCTGCTCCCCATAACCTTCTCCACATTCCATTCTCCAAGAACTAATGACCTTGAGAGGTGGCAGACAGGAAATTTAGCCCACAGACACATACCCCACCCCCATTCCCCCACCCCCACAACCTTGATATCAGGAGAGTCAGTCTTCCTTTTGGCAAGATAAGGAAACTAAGGTATAGAAAGAATGTCTGCATTTGGGGTCCCCCAGAAGCCGACCCTGAGATACAGATTCAAGTGCACATAATTTATTGAGAAGCGATCCAGGAAATGCTGGAAGTGGGGTGGAAAAGTGAGACAGAGAAGGGAAAGAAGTTGGTAATGCATGCATTACTGTGCAAGTCTCCACTGTGGGCAGCTGGAACTTCCCATAAAGACCTCCAGGGGTCAGTGTGGAATCTCAGTCATTCCACACAAGTGGCGAGGAAGCTGAGTTACTTATCCACCAAATCCTATTGTCTTCCACAGAGGTACAGAGCTCTGTTCAAAACTGACTAGCCCCCTCTACCTGCACTTATTTCTTCTTTCAACAAATCCTCATATTTACAGGGGGCTGATTTATCTATCAGGCACTGTAAGCACAGCACATCAGGCCTATAGCTAGTGAGAACATTTGAGGAAAAGAAAACATACACACATACTCACACACAGACTCCACAATCCAAACAGCAACTACCAAAATCTAGATGAATAATAGTACAACGCCACTAAGTGAGAAATTTAGCATTCCTAATCATTTCATTATATATATAGTTTGCAGATCATTTGTTTTCACTTATCAAGAATTTGATTGCTGAGAAAGAATCATAGCCATTGTGAATTGTATGAGCCACAGGTAGCCAAATAAATGCAAAAGAAAAAGTACAGAAACCCTGCCAAAATTTTTATCAAAAAATAATAAATATTGATGTGACACATGACTGCTTTTTAATCATTTGATGTGATATGTGGATCAAAGAGCTGTTCTCACCCTCATGTCAGCCTCCAGCTCCTCTGAGGTTCAGGGGCACCCCAGTGGACACTAGTCCTGCATTCTTGTCTTGGACTTGTGAAGAGGTATTGTCCTGACTCCTGACCTCTCTCTTCACTGTCAACAGCTACCTCAAAGACACCAGCAACTCACCCTCTCTTCATTTTCATCATCTAAGGAAAATGAAGAGAGCCTCAGAGACTTGTGGGACACTAGTAAACATACCAACATATGCATAATGGGAGTCTGAGACAGAGAGAAAAGAAAGGGACAGAAAGAAGAGCTGAAAAAATAATGGCCAAAAAAACTTCCCGACATTGATGAAAGACATGAATCTATATATTCAAGAATCTCAGGAACTCCAAGAAGAACAAACACAGAGATCTACATTGAGACATTATAAACAAACACACATCCTCTGTCAAGGCCTCTTGGCTACCCTATCCTGTCCAGGGCTCCATCACCTGGCACCTGATCTCCCACCTGAACATTCAGCAGTGAACAAGACAGAGATGCATCTGGTGAAGCCCCAGATCTAGACAAGGAAGCAGATAAACTAGAACAAACTAGTGGAACTATTAAGCACAAGCTGGTGAGTCTTCGAAAAAGCGAAATACAATGATATAATCATGGTTCTGTGGTGGTATCAAGGAAGACCTCCCAAGGAGGTGCCTTTGGGACTAAAGGGTGAGAAAGAGGCAGTTTCAGAAGAATCAGGGCTTCTGAGGCAGAAGGAAGTGCGTGTGAAAAGGGCCTAGGGCAGGAATTGTTTGATGTGAAGGAAGACCTGAGAGGAGGCCAGGGTGAGCATTGGGGACAACAAAGGAGATGAAGCCAGAAGTCTTGCTGGGACTGGATTTTATTTGTGGGAATCTGGATTTTATTCTAAATAGGGTAAGCAGTCATGAGAAGACTGTTCTGCAGGGGTGTGCCATGATCTGATTTCAGCTTTTTAAGTCCACTCTGGGTGCCATGTAGAGAATGGAATGTAGGGGTGAGGCAGGTTAAATTTTCCAAGATGACCACAATAATCTCTCTCATCCCACATCCTCTTGCACAGGTCATCTTAACATACTGCCCACTGAGAGAGGTAGGGTCTATGTCCCCCTCCTCTTGAATCTGGTGCCAGAAATGATACAGTGTGACAGCCTAGGGTGGGTTGGGAAAGGTAATGCAGCTCTGCCTTGTTCACTTTTAGAGTTGTGGATGACTATAAGAAGGTTGACTACCTGCTGGAAGGAGAGGCCCCTGTGGGGCCACAGCTGGCATCAATTGCAAGACCTGTGAGTGAACATGCCTCCAGATGACTCAGGCCCACATCTGTTGAGTCACCTCTAAACCTCGAAGTCCTTCCAACTGAAGAACAAGAGATAATCAATGTCAGCTCTGCTCTGCCCAAACTCCTGAACCGCAGCATCTGTGAACATCATGCAATGGCTGTTTTACACCACTGAGTTTGGGATAGTAGTACCTGGAATAAGAGGGGCGGGGGGTGGAGGAGGAAGGCACCAGAGTGACATCAGGTAGACTAAGGAAGAGGAGGTGCCATCAAAACGAACGATGCCAGGGCTTGAACCAGGTTAGAGCGGTAGATGAGAGAGATGAGAAAGGATACATACAGGATGCGTTTTGGCGATAAAGCCAAGAGAACTCGCGATCACCAAGGGAGAGGGAGAAAGGGGGAGGACGAGGGCTGCACCACCATACGAGTTGGAGCCCAGGAAGGCAGCCCAGAGCCCCCTTCCCTCCCCTCCCTGCCCAGGCGACTACATCTCCCAGCATCGCTCGCTCAGGCCGCGGGAAGGGGAAAAAAAAAGTTTGGGCCAAGCATTCCCGGAATGCCAAGAGAACTCGCGATCACCAAGGGAGAGGGAGAAAGGGGGAGGACGAGGGCTGCACCACCATACGAGTTGGAGCCCAGGAAGGCAGCCCAGAGCCCCCTTCCCTCCCCTCCCTGCCCAGGCGACTACATCTCCCAGCATCGCTCGCTCAGGCCGCGGGAAGGGGAAAAAAAAAGTTTGGGCCAAGCATTCCCGGAATGCGATGCGCTACCGCTGCTCAGGAAAACCTTCTCCCGCCTTCGGGGCCGGGAGAAACTTCCCCGGAAAAAGTCCGACGCGAAGGAGCGCGGTAAGCAAGGCGGGCGGCGGAGGAGGGGGCGCCGAGCCCCGCCCAGCCTGAGAGGGGGTCCCAGAGCCCCAAGGAGAGTCGGCTGGGAGGACAGAGGGAGCCCCTCCGAGGCCCCTACGGGCTGGGGTGGGGTGCCGAGGATGGACAGGGGTCTTGGAAGGAAGGGGCTGGGGAGGAGAGGGGTGCGGACCGTTATGTGCGCCTGGCCCGGGATGCCAGCGCTGCGGGCTCCTTGGGAGGCCCGGGAGGGGGCCTCGCCTCTGACAGGAAGTGGGGCCGAGACACTGCGCCTGGAGAGTGGAGGGAGGAGGAGCTGGGAGACCGGGACACTGGGGCCCAGTCAGGCCAGGCAGGGGGCACCCTGAGCCCTGGAGACCAGGATAGGCGAAGCGGGGTGCACTTCTGCAGGATGGAGAGACCTGGCACACCAATCATAGTAGGCACCCTGCATTCCCCTCCCATCTATTAACCAGTGACTGCAGCTGCATACGCCTTAAGCAGCCCCAGGAAACTGTCCCCTTGATTCGCGTAAGGAAACCGAGGCATGGAGCAGCTGTGTCATTTGCCCAGGGCTAGTAAAGTGACTTAAACAGCCCTTTGGACTGGGCTCCTAATAGAGACCGGGAGAGAGTCCTGGAGAGTGAAAATCTGAGGTGACCAGAGGAGGTAATCTGCAAGCAAGCAAGACTAGAGTTTAAAGTAATGGGCGCTGCCTCCGGTAGGAAGTCCCCAGAAGGAAGGAGTTAAGGGAGGGATGCCAGATGACTCCTGGATCTGACCTACCCCTCCACCCCGCCCCCGCCCCAGCCCTTCCCAAAGATTCCCAGAGTAAAGAAATGGGACTGGGTGCCCACGCACAAACACACACAGGAAACAGCCTTGGATGTCAGAGGAGAGGACAGAGCAAAGGGGAGGCGCCAAGGCATAGACCATGGGGGTCTGGTCTGGACCAAGAGATGGCCCGCTCCAGATTAGGGGCAGAGTTTGGAAGATAGGGGGGCAGGAGGGGGTGGGGGGGAAAGCAGGGGAGAGAGCGCATAACATGCTGCAGGAAGGGAGAACCATGCACTCACTGTCAAGTCTGCTCCTGTCTTCTGAGCAAGCAAGCCAGCGTCCACCCTGCACTGAGTGCTTGACCATGATACAGAGACCTAGGAAGCACTCCCCACACCAAGTTCCCTGAAGCCCCCCTGGAGAGGGCATCAAATCCTCCCATGTCACAGGACAACACTGAGGCTTAGAGATGAGAAGCAACTTGTTCCAGTGACAAGGAACAGGAGCAGGACCACTTGCTGGGGTTAATGAGAGGGGTGGGGAATCAGAGCCAGGAACACAGGGTCTCTGCCTGGAGAAACCCCAGTGGCCCCCTGAGGCTGGAGGCAGAGAGACATTAGGGACTAAGATAGGGTGGACTATAAGCTGCCAACCAATCCCATTCCAAAGAAATGCCTCAGCCCTTGCTGGAGGAAGAGCTTGGGTGGGGGCTACTGGAGAAACAGGGTACTATGTCTCACTCTCTTGCTCTCTGCCAGGCCGCCCAGCCCAGCACCTGGAGCCCAGCACTACAGAGCCAGAGCCCCAGGCCCCTGAAAGAGCCCAGGCTGGAGCAGAGGGGCCCCCCAGCCCTGAGGCATCTCGCAGTCCTGCACGGGGGGCCTACCTGCAGAGCCTGGAGCCCAGCAGCCGAAGATGGGTGCTGGGTGGGGCCAAGCAACCAGAGGAGGCCACTTTGGGGCCTGGGGGACCTGGCAGCGGGGAGCCCGCTGGCGAGATCTGGTACAACCCCATCCCTGAGGAGGACCCCAGACCCCTGGCACCTGAGCCCCCAGAGCCACAGCCAGGTTTGGCTGAGCCAGAGGGCCCAGCCCTGCAAGGTGAGTACAAGCCTCACCCACCCCCGCACAGGGCCCCCCAAGATAACCACAGGCTTCAGCCTCACCCCAAGCCCAGGTTTCTGAACACTGAAGTATGCTGTCTCCACAGGTGTGGCCCCTGCCAGCCCCCCAACCAAAGCCTCACGCACCAAGTCCCCGGGCCCTGCCAGGCGCCTCTCCATGAAAATGAAGAAGCTGCCAGAGCTACGGCGCCGCCTGAGCCTGCGGGGCACCCGGGCTGGCCGGGACCGCGAGAGGGCTGCCCCCGAGGGCTCCGTCATCAGCCGTTATCACCTGGACAGCAGCGTGGGTACCTCTGGGCGGGCAGCCATGGCTGGGAGCTCGAGGGGCCCTCGGGCTGGGTACCTCAGTGATGGTGACTCACCAGAACGCCCAGCGTGTCCCCCGTCACCCACTGCCTTCCGGCCCTACGAGGTGGGCTCATCTGCCCGGGCACCTCCCGCCGCACTGTGGGGCCGCCTCAGCCTGCATCTGTACGGGCTGGGGGGGCTGCGGCCAGCACCTGGGGCTACCCCAAGAGACCTCTGCTGCCTGCTGCAGGTGGATGGGGTGGCCCAGGCCCGCACAGGGCCGCTGCGCGGGGGGCCGGACTTCCTGCGACTGGACCACACCTTCCACCTGGAACTCGAGGCTGCCCGGCTACTGCGGGCCCTCGTGCTGGCATGGGATCCCGGCGTGCGTCGGCACCGGCCCTGTGCCCAGGGCATTGTGCTGCTGCCCACGGTTTTCCGAGGTAGGATGTATGGCTGCGGGTGGAAGTGCAGTAGGGCACAGAATTCAGCCCTTCCACCAGAGCACCCAGGGCTCCAAGCCCAGGGTGGGGGTTTGGCTTGGAGTAAAAGGCCAGTAAAAGGGTAGAACCCACTCAGGTTCCCTTGTGTCTTTAGGGTGCCAGGCCCAGCAGCTGGCTGTGCACCTAGAGCCTCAGGGGCTGTTGTATGCCAAGCTGACCCTGTCAGAGCAGCAGGAAGCACCGGACACAGCTGAACCCCGCGTCTTCGGGCTGCCCTTGCCACTGCTGGTGGAACGGGAACAGCCCCCAGGCCAGGTGCCCCTCATCATCCAGAAGTGTGTTGGGCAGATCGAGCGCCGAGGGCTGAGGGTGAGCCCCTCACCCCACCCCAGCTGGACCCCAGACCTCAGACCCACCTCCCAGGACACCCCGTGTACAGAGGCCAGGCCTTTCTCCCTGCCCTGCCTGAGACACTCCCAGCTCCAATCCCAGCCTAGACAACAGCAGGAGGCATCCCCAGACCATAGCACCTAGGCCAGAACTCATGGGTCATCTACCCACTTAGCGACACAGGATCCCATCCCTCTGGAGCTCAGAATCTGTTGAGGGAAAAGACATGACTCCAATAGTAACTCACAAATGTAAAACTGTGGCTGGGACAAGAGTGAGGAAGTGAGAGCTTAAAACAGGACTTCTCCTATTGATTGTGGTAGTCAGGGAAGGCCTCCTGGAGGAAGTGACAAGTGAGCTGAGGAGTCAGGACCAGTGATCCAAGCAGAAGGTTTATAGGGCCAGGCTGTCCAGACAGCTGGGTGGAGACCCTATGACAGGTGTCAGAGGAGCAGGAAGGCAGCTGGTGAGGCTACAGCTAGCACCCAACATCTCAGCCCACTGCCACCATCGCCCAGACCTCCAGCTCTCAACCCACTGGACCCTGATCAGTCTGTGGCCCCAGCAAGAAGACATCCTCTCTCTGCTCCCACACCCAGGTAGTGGGGCTATACCGCCTGTGCGGCTCCGCAGCCGTGAAGAAAGAGCTTCGAGATGCCTTTGAACGAGACAGTGCAGCTGTGTGCCTCTCTGAGGACCTGTACCCGGATATCAATGTGATCACTGGTCAGCATGCCCAGTCTCTCCCCTACCTGCTCTCCATTCAACCCTCACCTCAAGGCAGTCCCTACGGTCCTTCTGGGACCTCGCCTCCTCTATCTGGCCTTGTTTTCACCTTCCTGCACCTGTCCTCCTCCTCTTCCCCCATCTCAGCCCCAGCTGACCCCTCCAGCCTCGGAAGCCAGGGGTGCCCTGACCAGAGTGGGCCCTGTGTCCACAGGCATCCTCAAGGATTATCTTCGGGAGTTGCCCACCCCACTCATCACCCAGCCCCTCTATCAAGTAGTGCTGGAGGCCATGGCCCAAGGGCCCCCAAGCAGGGTTCCCCCCAGCGCTGACGGTACCCGTGGGCTCCTCAGCTGCCTACCGGATGTGGAGAGGGTGAGTTGGGCCTGGTGGGAGTGGGTGGAACAGGGAGTGGACTGACATTAGTAGAACATTTCTTCCATGCCTGGATGGGCAATGACCATGGTCTTGTGGCACTATCAATCTTAGAAAGTAGATGCTATTAGTATCCCCACTTCATAGATGTGGAAACCAAGGCCCAAAGCAGTAGAGTGAGTTACCCAAGGAAGGTAGCACAGCCAGGATCTATCAAAAACACAGTGAATACAGGTTTGTCAACCTACCACAAGGGCGATTTCTGGCTATGGGATCCTGGACAAATCCTGACGCTCTCTGTGCTTCAATACCCTCATCTATATAATGGAATTAATACCAGCCCTGCCTAACACAAGAATAGGTTGAAGTCCAAGATTTGCCATTCCAAACCTGTTACCTTTGGTCTCCCCTTCAGGAAAATGTAATCCCTGCCTAACACAAGAATAGGTTGAAGTCCAAGATTTGCCATTCCAAACCTGTTACCTTTGGTCTCCCCTTCAGGAAAATGTAATCATAATACTAATACCTAACGGTTAAGTCTTAGCTTGGCCATCTCCCAGCTAGGAGACCTGAACCTCAACTTCCCCATTCTGAGTTGCCTTAGTCTCCCTCAGGTGCGACAGGAGTCTAGCTTTGCCCCGCTCATGCCCTCCCAAACCTCTTTTTTCAGGCCACTCTGACGCTTCTCCTGGACCACCTGCGCCTGGTCTCTTCATTCCATGCCCACAACCGCATGACCGCGCAGAACTTGGCTGTATGCTTCGGTCCCGTGCTGCTGCCGGCGCGCCAGGCCCCCACCAGGCCCTGCAACCGCAGCTCTGGCCCAGGACTTGCCAACGCAGTGGATTTCAAGCGCCACATTGAGGTGCTGCATTACCTGCTGCAGGCCTGGCCAGGTGAGTCCTTTCGCCCGCGCTGCCAATCCGGGACAGGCCGCCGCGGCGATGCTTTCCCGGAAGGCCAATTAATCTCGAATTTCAGGCAAGCCACGCCCCCTTATTAGAGTAAATCCGTACCTGGTTGCCTCAGCAACCAGTTCAGATCCAACCAATCCATGCTTGATGCGGTCAGAGGCCCTGCCTCTCGGCATGCCAATCAAAACCGGCTCAGCCAATGAAATCGTGATCCGGTCGAGGGCTGCCAGAGCAACCAGTCAGAGGCCTGATCATCGCCGCCGCTGCGCGTGAAGTCACCATTAGCCCTCCCTCTCCTTCAGATCCCAGCAGGTCCCCAGAGGCTCCGGACCTCGCCCCGTACCTGCGACCCAAACGACAGCCTTCGCTGCACTTGCCACTGGCGGGCCCGGAAGTGGTGACTCGGCCCCGCGGCCGGGGAGGTCCCGAGAGCCCTCCGAGCAACCGCTATGCCGGCGACTGGAGCGTTTGCGGGAGGGACTTCCTGCCCTGTGGGCGGGACTTTCTGTCCGGGCCGGACTACGACCATGTGACGGGCAGCGACAGCGACGAGGACGAGGAAGCCGGCGAGCGGAGGGGCGCCGCTGACTTCGAGGACGACTTCGAGGCGCCTTTCAACCCGCACCTGAACCTCAAAGACTTTGACGCCCTCATTCTGGACCTAGAGAGAGAGCTGTCCAAACAGATCAACGTGTGCCTCTGAGCCGGGCAGGGCGAGACCCCAGTTAAGGGCTGTGCTCTTGGTTGCTAAGCCAGTGCCCTCATGACCGGCCTAGCTCCTTGTTGTGGGGGAGTCGCCTGGCGAGCAGCCCCCCGCCCCCGCCCGATGTTGTGAATCATTTGTTTCCAGTGCTAAATATTTGGGCACTGGTTCCCAAGGCCAGTGACTGGGGATTTTGGGGACCAATTGTTGCGGCCATTTTTTCTGAGTACCATGGGCCTCTCCCGCTTGCTGGGCTGGTCTCTCTTGCCTCCCCTTGGCCAGGACACACCAGTTACTGTGTGCATCAGCCCAGATTGGTGACACACCCCGTCAGTCCTCTTGCTGCTGCCAACCAAATCAGTATTAGCTTTCATAAGCAGTGCACTCCGCTTTTCCTTCAGAGGGCCCTAGGACTATCAGGAGGTGCTGTATGGGGCAGCCCCTATCCTGTGCTCCAGCTGAATGAGGACAGCCTCAGGCTTATAGAAAAAGAGCTGGGTTCTCCACCTTCTTTTCCAGGGAAAATCCCACAATTGCCTCAAACCAGCTAACAGATATAGCAGAGTCTGGCCCTTCCCCTTCCCAATTCTTCCCGTCCTTGAAAAAAAATGAGCACTTATAAGTCCTCCCTTTTGGAGAGGCCCCACCTGAAGTGTCAGGCTGGGGGCACTTTGGTACGGAATATATTTATTGCGTGCGTGCGTGTGTGTGTGTACAGGTGTGCATGGACACATCTGGAGTTGGCATGTGGGGCTCTTTCAGGGACCATGGAGCAGGAAAAGGGTTCACAATGCCAAGGACTCTGAACTCCCTAGTAGTGGTGCCTCAGTGGGTCCCAGAGTTCCAGTGGGAGAGTAAGGTCCCCTCCTGTCTCTCGGCTCTTTCCTTCATTTCCATCTTTGTGGACAATAAATCAATATGCACAGGTTCTGGGATGAGTCCTTGAGCCCACATGAACCAGAGGTGGTTTATTCAGCGTGTAAGAAAAAAGAGAGAGGGCACAATTGGACCCACAGAGAAAAAGGCCCGAGAGCTCTCCAGGGCTGCCAAGGAGCCCCTCTGAGCTTTGACCCCTCCAGCCCCTGCCTGTCCCCAGGGAGGGTTCTAAGGTCACTGGACCTCATGGGATAGGCCCAGGGCAGACAAGGATGAGACTCCAAACCCGCTAGACACAGTCCAGGAGTGGGAAGGCACTCACAAGGCCCTACATGGCAATAGAGCCGTCACGAAAGTCCGTCCTGCTAATGAGGATGTTAACCACGACTGGGTGACCGTCTCGGCACTGCTGCTGGGCGTCACGCAGCACCTTGACCACCTGATCCTCATTCTCCCGTGAGAGCAGCAAGCCCTGGGCCCCCAGACCCATTGCTGCCTTGTGATAATCTAAAAAGGGAGATCAAGTTAGATGGTGGCAGGGACCCAGCCCACCATGCAGCCAGCCCAAGAAACACACCCAGCCAGGCTGGGAATAGCTTCCCCGCTCCCCACGCTGCCTAGGCCCCTCACCAGTGTAGGCCAGGCCACAGGCCACATTGCTGCCCAGACAGGGCACCTGCTCCCGAGAAATCTGAGTCCAACCAGCATCATTCCCTATCAAGGCCATCACTGGGATCTGCAGAGGGAGGATGAGGCCACGCTGTGGCATTCAGTGCCATGTGTGGCCATCCAGAGACACAGACAGAGACAGGACCTGCCAGACAGAAGCAACTCCCTCCCCAGCCCAACCCAGCCCTGATGACACCTCCCAGAATCCCAGGCTTCCCCTGAGGCAGCTTGATCACCTTGTGTCTGACGAAGGTGTCAAATTCAATGAGGCTGTACCCAAAAGCTCCATCCCCAAATAGACACCAGACCTGAGAAGGGACAGGGGATGGTTGGGGTGGTTCATGGCCCAGAAAGCAGCAGGCCTCCTGCCTCCAGTGCCCCAACTCACCTCAGCATCTGGCCGGCACAGTTTGGCCCCAAGTGCAAATCCTGCGCCAACCCCCAGAGTTCCAAAGGCCCCTAGGAGAACCAAGAGCAGGTGGCTATGAAGGGGCCTGGATGGTACAAGCTACTCCAGATGTAGGCCCTTCCTTACCAGGATCAAGCCAGCACAGGGGGCCACGGGGCCGCACCAGGTAGGCAGCAGTGCCCACGAAGTCTCCACCATCCATCACCAGAATCGAGTTGTCGGGCAGAGTTTCCTCCACCAGCTGCAGCACCCGCACTGGATTCAGGTGCTGGGCTACAGGCATCATTGCCTTCTCCCTGCAACAGAGCAGTGCAGGTCAGCAGGGCCAGCAGCAGAAGCTGTCAGGAACCCTCCACCCACCATGTCCACTCCACCAACCCCCACCAAAAGGACTGCTCCTTCTTCTGGTCAGCTTGCCGAAGCTCCTCTGCCCAATCTGAGGGCCACGTCTGGCCCCGAAGGCCCTCCTCCAGCTTCACCATGAAGGACCCCACATCTCCTAGGGAAGAAAGAGAACACAGATGCAGGGAGGTAGCCTCCTCCCGCCCTTCCAGCACCAGAGGCCCAAAGACAGCAGGAAGCCAACAGCAGCACTAGAACAGGAGGCAAGGAGGCAGGCCAGGGGTGCTCCTAGGGCAAAACAGGCAAAACATACCCCGGGGCCTGTCAGAATCAGGTAGGGCACCTGGAGTGAGAGGGAGGGCAAAGCCAGAGAAACAGGTTTAAGGAGCACAAAGACGATTAGAAATCCAATCCAAGCCAACCTCGTCACCTGCCTCCACACCCCAGATCACACATATCACTAAAAACACCTCCATCTGCCTAGCATGTCTCTACAACCCAGGCGTGCAAAGTGCTTGTGGAGTGAACAAATAAATGAGCTGGTGATGATGTACTTTTCATCACTTCCATTCAGAAATGATCACCTGGAGGTTCAGAGAAGTTGAGTTTCTCTTCCCTGCCTATCCTCGCCTCAGACCTTGTCGTTTCCATCCCGCCCCTGTTTAACAGACTCTTTGCCACTGCCTGGTCCCCTCCAAGTCACTGACCACTAGCTACTACAGCGGACATTCCCAAACATGAATGCAATGGTACCACTTCTCTGCTTGACACAAGAGTTCCCTGTTACCTACCCTATGGGGAAGTCAACATCCTTGGAACTATGGGCAAAGCAGAGCACAGAAAGTCCTTGAGAGGGGACCAAACAGGAGCAGAGGAGTTATGACAGGACAACAGAGGCCTCAGTGGCCACGGAGTGAGTTCTCTGTCCTAAGAGCAGTGGGCAGCATGGGAGGGTTTGCAGCAGGGGGACATGATCACATGCGCATTCTCAGGCTTTCCCTATAGTGCACACTCACCATTTGTTCATCTAGAAGCACCCATCAGTCTGAGCGCCAAATATATAACTCTGGACGACTGAGTGCCCCCTGGGGCAGGGTCCAGGCCTTGATCAGCAACACCAAGCACAAGCCAGCTGCAGCTGAGGCCAGGAGAGGGCCCAAGATGAGCATGGTGGGGCAGGCGGGGCACTGGGGGCTCACCCTGCACTGCCTCCTGAGGCTTCCAGAACATGTCCGAGTTGATCAACATCTCTTTCCGGTTACGGTTGACAATGATGATCTTGCTGCTACGACTCAGGACACGGCCATAAGACAGGCGGAAGTCACACACAATTCCTGGGGTGGGGGACAAAGGGAGAGTGGACACAGGGCCAATATCCTGGGGAGTGCCCTCTGTAGCAGACAGAATGCAAAAAGGTTCCCATTTTCACCTCTCCCTGGACCCTTGCCACCTGCAGTGACTTTGCAACTCCCCAGCCCTTCAATCTGGGCTGATCTCAGGATGTGCTTTGGCCAGCAGAATGTGTCAGGAGTGCTGGCATGTGTCCTGAGACCAGGCTTCAAGAAGCCTTGCAGCTTCCATTCTCCCTCAACCTTGCTCACCAAGCTCTACATGTTTTTCAACCTCCAAGTGAACTAGCCTAGGCCAGCCTGTGGGATGATGATAAACACGGAGGAGGAGGTAGGGAAGAGAGAGAATTCAGAATCTCAGCTGAGGCCATTCTTGCCCCACTATAGCCAGCCAACTCCCAAGTATCTAAGCCAGCCCGGCCTGGGCCAGCACGGCTGCCCTCCTGCCACCCCGAATGCTGACTCCTGAATGAGTCCTGCCAAAACTAGATCCCACCTCACCTGTTGCTGAGCCTTGAGCAATAACAAGTGCATTTTAAGCCACTGAGTTTCGGAATGGTTAGTACACAATAGCTAACTGGTACAATTATCATGTGTCAAGCGTTAACGTACTTAGGTGAAAATGTGTATGCTGTATGTGTACGTGCTGCGTAGTGTATGCAAATGGAAATGCTATGTAGAAAGCCCTGCAGGGCACCAGTATCTGTGTCCTCCTTTGTACAAAGCTGCGTCTCAGCACACAACTGTAACCTGGCAAGAATTCGCATGAATTTCAAATTGAGGGTTGTTCAAAACCCTTGAAAGGGGAAAGTTTGGGCACTATAAGAGGGTGGATGACTAGGAGGATGGGGTGCCAGTGAGGACCAGACTAGGAGGGTCAGGGTCACAGGGTGACAGGGGTCCTGGAGGAAAATGGAAGGATGGGGAGGAGTCAGAGGCCCACCTGCCAGGAGGACAACATCGGCCTTCTTCAGGGTGGCGCTGCGGTTCTGCCGGATGTGGAGGGGGTGCCTGCGGCCCAGGAGCCCCCGTGCCATCCCGCCCAGAAAGCAGGGGACACCTAAGGCCTCCACAGCAGCCCTGTGGGTCCAGATACAACAGAAGTGAGTGTGGCCAAGGGCCTTCCCATCCCCAAAGGGCACCAGAGGACTAGGAACCAGGAATGTGATTGTAAAGGCAGGGCTGAGGCTTCTCACCGAAGCTTGTCGGCAGGTGTTGGGGGCAGCAGGGCCTGGCTCCCCACCACCAGAAGGGGCCTTTTGGCCCGGCTCAAGATCTCCACACAGCGCTGAACCTGGGGCGAGAGGTGAAGCTCGAAGAGCCAACCCTGAGTCACCATTAGCCCCCAAGATCAAGGCCCCAGTACTGACTCAGGGAGAGGCCAGGCTGCCAGGTAGGGGTCCTCAGCCAAGGATGAGAAGCAATTCACCTGCTGGGGGGATGCCTGGGGGATGTCCAGAGGCAGGGGCCCCTCACACTGAGGCTCCCAGGCTCCTGCAAAGAGGTTGGCCAGGTAATTATCTAAGTACCTGCGAAGAAGAGAGAAAGGGGTGGTTACCAGGATTCACTACTGGGGTTTCAGGAGCTGGAGGAGGAGAGGGGTCAGGAGGAAGCGGGACAGGCACAAGATGGTCAACGGCCCAGGGACAGATAAACCCCAGTGGCCAAGTCTCTAGTGGCCTGTTTCCCCTCAGAAGCTGCTGGTGACCACTCCAACCTGACACAGACCCTCAGAAACAAGTGGCCCCGGAGTAAAGTGCCTGGATCAGGGCCCTAGCTGTGGGGTCAGGCAGAGGTGGCTCTGCCACTACTAAGCTGTATGACTTTGGGCAAGGCACTTAACTTTTCTGAGTACTCTGATCTGTGAAATGTAAAAGGGAACATCCCAAGGTTCAGTGACCTAACCATTAAGGATATAAAGTCAGTGGAAGCTACTAACATAACTCTTTTTCTGGCTTCCCACATCCTCTTCTGTCTCCTTATTGAGTCACAGGACCTCAACTTTCCCTGAGGCCCAGGCAGAGCTCTGAAGACACACAGATAAATCCTGCTCAGCTCTACCCTCAAGAACACCCAATGCAGCCAAAAACAGACACGTGGGAGTTGGTAGGAAGCAACTGGAACCAGAAGCTTCTATTTTTCTTTGAAGGATGAGTCAAGATTGCAGAGAATGAGAAGAGGCCAAGGAAGGAACTATGGAGACCCCAACAGGGAAAGAAAAGGCAAGGGAAGAGCCAGCCTTGCAGGGGGCTGAGGAGGAAAGCCCGAGAGAGAGGAGGAGAACAACGAGGTGAGGGGACTGGGAGGCCAGGGAGTAGAGGCTGTAATGGTCACAGAACAAAACTGCTTAAAAACTCTGCCTCCCGGACAAGGTTACAGACCACTTCTTAAATGTTAGGACCACTAAACACCCTTCTCTATTTTTTCTGGTTTCCTAACCATACTGAAGGAAGGATGGAAGACAGCTTGCCTTACACTTGACATGACAATGGACTCAGCCCTGTTCTTATTAACCATCATGATGATAATGGTTAATTCTTTTATAAGTCAGCATTTGCAGTATCAGAACAATCTCATCTATTTTTCACAGGACCTTCGTCTAGAGAGAAAAGCTAGAGACGTTCATCACAATTAAGTCAAATCATTATGCTGTACACCTTAAACTTACACAGTGCTGTCAATTGTATCTCAATAAAAATGGAAAAAAGTCTAATTATTTGCTCAAGTAAACACAGCTAATTAGCAGCAGTCCTGGGATTCATTTCATTCATTAGAGATGGCACATAGCTCTTTGGGTAAAGCACTGAAGGCTCCTCCAGGCTGAATCTTTGTGTGCCATTAACAACCTGGATGACTTCATCCAAATCATTTGGTAACAATATCTTACCATGTTAACTCAAAGCGTTGTTATAAAAGACACTGAGTAAAACTGTTACTCTGTGAGCTGGCCCTGAAGATACATCTCATGCCCAGGGTGCAGGGACCTGTCTGTCTTGTTCACGGATGTTCCCCCCTGCCCATCCTGGAACCTGGCACATAGCAGCACTTGATAAATATATGCAGGAGGACTGGAAAAAGGAGGGGCAAGGATAGGCAAAGGGAAGGGATAATGGGGAAGGAGGAGGAGAAAACTGATTCTCCCTCCTGGCCCTGTTTCAGCCAGCCCCACCTCAGTAGTGACCAAAAGTGGACCCTTTTGCACATGTCTGCTAAGGCTGTGCCCCTACCTGGACCCCTTTATATCCACTCAACTGAGGTAGTGCCCCTCAAACTCACAGCTCTTTCAGGAAAAACTTTGGGCTTGTCCCAGGCCAGCCCCATTGCCGTGCTCTCTCCAAAATCCTGGCCACTTGTGACTCACAGCCCCAGAGTGAGCTGTGCCCATGTCACAAGCCTGTGGGGACCCATTGTCCCCTTCTCCAGGCATTCATATGTGATCCATCCACATTCCTGCATCCCACAGCCACCACCCAGATCCAGGACACCATCACCTCTCATCCCAGGGACCACCACACCTGTTCCCCAGCTTCCCAACTTCCATCCAACCCTACAGTCCATTCTCCAGCAGCAACCACAGGGAATGTAATAAAAATCTGCATCAGGGTATTCCACACCTCTGCTTAAGGCCCTGCAATGCTTCTCAACAGATCTCAGATTAAAAACAAAACTCCAGGCACTCCCAGTGGGCCCTGCTAGCTGCTCTGAGCTCAGCCTCTGCCCCTCTCCTCTTTGCTCACCTGCTGCTGCCACATGGCCCACGTTGCTTTCCCAACCCACCAAGTTCATTCCTGCCTCAGGACCTTTGCATATGCTATTTCCTCCACCTGAAATGTTCTTCTCATGGTTGGCCCCTCTCAAGTGATGTGCAAATCAATGAATGAGTCAAAAAAGGGATAGGTACTGGCAAGAAGTTGCAAGAGAAGGCAGGGAAAGGAGGAGGGCACGATGGGAGTGGGGCTACTTACCACGAGACTACTCGACCCATGATATCCTTGGGTTGCCTGGTTGATGATATCTCCTTCTGGACCATGAAATAGGGGTACAGCACATCAATAGGCAGCTCCACAAACACTGGGCCTGCAGGGGCAGGGAAGATGCTGAGCCTACTGTGCCTCCTTAGCCCCTAGACCCTAGGGCCTGACCACTGCCCAGCCCCAAACCACCTACCCGGGGTGCCTGACTGAGCAGCAGCCATTGCGGCCCTCAGGGTGGGCATGATGTCCCGCACCCTCTTCACGGAAGCACAGAACTTGCAGAGTGGCCGGAACAAGGACATCTGATCAATGGCCTGGAGCGCACCCCGGTTCTGGCAGAGATGGGTCCAGAGGAGTTACCATGTGAGCCCTTCGAGCCATCCTGGAGCCTCCACCGCCCTCCTGAGCACAGGGTACCTGCAGCAGAATACTGGCAGCGCCACCCAGAAGCAGGACTGGAGACTGAGCTATCTGGGCATTCTTCACTGCTGTTACTGTGTTGGTGAGGCCCGGGCCTGCCGTCACTGCCGCCACACCCACCGTTCCTGGAACACAGGTCGTCACCCTCTGCATCCATGCCCTTCCTCCTGGCCACCCCTAAAAAACCTGTGCCCCTCAAAGACCCCTCATCCCAGTCTCACCAGCAGCCCCCAGCCCTCTCCACTCTGCCCTCACCTGTCAGGCGAGCCACAGCATCGGCAGCAAACACAGCCGTGACTTCGTGGCGTGTGTCCACCACATGGATGCCCAGCTTCTCACAGGCTACCAGCAGCGGGGAAATGTGCCCACCAACCAGTGTAAAGAGGAACCGCACACCATGGGCCTTCAGCACAGCTGCCACGCTCTCCCCACCATGCCTGATACTTGCCTTGTCCACCTGGGGCGACGGAGAGAGAGGAACAAGACTGTCAAGGACCCGGGAAAGGGTGCCAGGGCAGGTGGGGAGAATGGCAATCCCCCTCCCCTAGAAACAAGGGAGCAGGGTCAGGGAACTGAGAAAGGCATATATCATATATGAGGCCCAGAGCAAGACACATCATCCTACCAGATCCTCTTGTCATTACAGTTGACCCTTGAACAATGTGGGCGTTAGGGGTACCAACTCCTGTGCAGTCGAAAATTCACATATAACTTTTGACTCCCCAAAAACTTAACTACTAATAGCCTGTTAACCAGAAGCCTTACCAATAATATTAACAGTTGACTAACATATATGTTGTATATGTGTAATATACCATACTCTTAAAAAAAGTAAGCTAGAGAAAAGATGTTATTAAGGAAAGTATAAGGAAGAGAAAATACATTTACTGTATGTAGTGAAAAAAATCCACGTATAAGTGGACCCATGCTGGTCAAGTGTCAACTTGATATCCTTTCATAGCTAAGGGAACCAAGACCTGCCCAAGCAAGATTCGAAGTCCCATAGCACCAACACTGTCAAGCGCCCCACTTTGTTACACTGCCTGCCTGGGGTGGTGGAACAATTAGGGAGAGAGGAGGGGGAAAGTGGATCTACAGAATCCAGAGGAGTTAGGCCAAGAACACAAGGTAGGGGTCATTGGCTGTGACTCCAGGACTGCCTGCCCTCCAGTATCAGGACCTGGTAGCCTGAGTGCAACCTTCAGCCTACCAGGCTCCTTCTCACTCACTGGCCAAGCACAGATGACAAGCTGCCAGCCAAGTGCCTGGCATGTGAGCAGCATCCCAGCCTCAGCTTCCACACAGCTCCGTACATCAGAAGCTTTTGCCTTAAATTTCACAAGTCCTCAAGGCCAGTGGTTTTGATTCTGGCTAGGAGAGGAAGGGCTGGGAAGGGGTCAAAGTTGCTTCAGGCAGGAGAGAAAATATTAGGGAAGAGATCTGGTAAATTTCTGAGAGAGGAGCCAAATAGTTCAGATCCAAGTCTGTGCAGTCAGCTCTTTCCCAAAGAGGTCATCTAGATCAAGCTACCACACAACGTCTCTGAGACTGTTTCCTCTGCGAAAAATGCAGACAGAAGCAAAAGCTTCAGAAACATATGTTGAGTACATAAGAAAATTCCTCTAAAGCACAGAGCAACTGTCAAAAGATATCACAGCCACATCCTCTGGTGCTTGCCTTCATAGCCCTGACCCACGGTGTATAGGGAGCATTGTTCTGTGAAAAGGGCTCGGCTCTCTGGGGAAGGAGGTGGACGTGGTATTGAGTGCCCTGGCACAACAGCTGCCTTATTATCTCTAACGAGGCAAAGTCCAGGGCCTCGTATGCAGCTTGGCAATGGGGACAAGGCCCTGGACTCTCCTGCC